CCCCAAAACCCCAAAACCCCAAAACCCCAAAACCCCTAATTTAAGGATTTTCGTTGAAATTTTGAAATATCTATAAATACTAAAAATTAAAACTTTGGCTTATTAGGCATTTAGTACGTCATGGCTATCGGGGAACTCTATGTCCAATCTTTTTGCTATAAATCTGTATAGTGGGTTCTTGATGAGTCTCTTAGCGAATTCAGTGCCTTTCAAATTCTCGCTGCTGTTGACGATCTTTGAAATCCAGACTTTGACGACTTTGTTGAGTACCATTTTGCCTACCCAGCCTTGTCCAAGACCGAGTTTCATATCAACATTAAGGACTACTTTAAATTTTCATGTATTCTCATCAATGTACTCCATGTACATGAATCCGTCTTTGAGATTCATTCTGACTCTCTTTTCGCAGATTTCTTCAAACTCAGTGCCAAAGAAGGAACCACTGTAATCTGATTTCATGATGAAAGCGACCGCCTTCTCTTCTTCAAAGAGAAAGCCTGTTCCTTCTGTGACCAAATCTCTATTTTTAAATGGAAGAAATAGATCAATTTTCAAATGGATCAACTTCTTAAGAGGCGACTGCTCATGAAGGAGATCCACGCTTTTTAACATTGGGATCCAGTTTTGAAGCAACTCATGCTCTGCCATGACGCAACATGGGTTGAGCAAAGGAGCATTGATAATTCACTCACCACCAAACAGGAAAGAATCAAGTTTTCCATCAGTGTAGTTCTCCTTAAGGTAAATATTCATCGATTTGGATTTTGAATAAACTTTCCACCCATCTGAGAAATCTTGGATACAGCCAAGGTAATGATCAAGAAGGGTTTTGTCATTCTTAGCTCTAGTGACAAGCTCACTATTGATAAACTCTTTCACACCTTCTGGAACTCTTAAGGTCCCATTCTGCTCAATTCTTTCTACTAGAGATTCTAGCTCGCTGATTTGGCTTAAAGCTAAAGGTAAGTTAGGCTATGAGCCAAAATGAGGGACAATAAGCCTTTGTGGTGCTGATTGGTCCAATACAAAACTAAGTGAAATTATTACGTCATAAAGTCTAATTCTCACCTAATTTGAAATGCTCTTTCTTTAAGTTCTTTGGAATGACTCTGGTAAGTGTGAGCATCAGTTCAAGCTCATCATCTTCTTCGAAGTTGTCTTCTGGGTCAGAGAGTTCAATATCTGGGTCTGGGATGATAGTTACCTCCTCTTCCTTCTTGGCTCTCTTGAAAAAGCTAAACATTGATATAGTAGTATTAATTTGTCAATTTATGTAAATTTTACAGGGGTTTTGGGGTTTTGGGGTTTTGGGGTTTTGGG